GATTTAAACCTTTTAAAAATTCGAATAGTCATATATAAGTAGCATATGAAAGATAGTAAATTAAATTGTGAAAAACTCTAATATATGAATGATAGTTTTAAAAATATATTAAATTTAATACTTTTAAAAATTCTCCAGTCAATTATAATTAGCATATGAATGATAGTAAATTAAATGTTAAAAACTCTAATTAACATATGAAATTGCCACTTGCGTGATTTAAAACTTTTAAAAATCCTCTAGTCAATTATAATTAGCATATGAATGCTAGTAAATTAAATGTTAAAAACTCTAATTAACATACATATGAAATTGCCACCTGTGTGATTTAAAACTTTTAAAAATTGTAAGTATCACATATAACTAGCATATACATGATTTAAACTTGTTGAAACCTCTAATAATCGTGCGTAATTAACATATGCCATACATCAATTGATTTATATGGATAATCAATACATCCAAAATAGTTTACATCGTGTACACAATAATTACGGCACGTACTTTCTCCTCACTATTGTTCCCTCCTTGTGATCGCTGCGTGAGTAAGGGGTGTCTTCATTTGATAGGAGGATGCTAGGGTCAATCGTCACCGTGAAAGGGGGTTGCCCATCCAACTGATCGTAATCCTCGTCAGTCTTGTCCTCAACTCCGACGATTTTTCTTTTGCCTGGGAGAACCACTTGACGCTTAGGCTCATCAGGCCCTCTGCCCTTCTTTCCTTTGCTAGACATGTCCTTCACGAAAAAGACTTGCGTTACATCATTGGCAAGGACAAAAAGTTCGTCCGAGTATCCAACCTTGTTAAGGTCAACAGTTGTCATCCCAATGTCATCAATCATTACCCCTTCACCAGTCAACCTAACCCATTGGCACCGGAACAGAGGAACCTTGAGAGGACCATAGTCAAGTTCCCATATGTCCTCGATGGCACCGTAATACGTGGCAGTTGTTCCATCGTGTCCCATGGCATCGACACGAACAACGCTGTTTTGGTTCGTGCTCTTCATGTCTTGGGCTCTCGTGTAGAATGTGTACCCATTGATCTCATATCCCTGGAATGTCGCGATCGACCCAGACGGTCCCCTCGCCAGGAAGGCAAGTTGTTGGTTGATCGACTCGTTACCCATGAGATGTTGTCGTAGCCACGCGGGGAAAGTATCAATGTGATGCCGTGTAATCCATGCATCGGACTTACCGATGTTCCTGGCGCGAACTAGAGCCAAGTGCTCCTCGATGTAAGGAGCTACCAATGAAGAGTGTTGCAGAACAGGGAAATGGGCTTTACGGAATAAATTGTTGTCTACCGTCGTTATTGCTTTCCTTCCGAGAGTTCCCTTTCCCCGTAGTCTCCCTTCATGGCGTGATTCAGGTACCCCGATTGGGCGAAGGTCTTCGATAAATTCTACGCAAAATTCGATGACCTCCTCTGTTCCATAACCCTTGGCGATGCTAGCCTCTGGACGAGCACGGTTACGAACATACTTCTTCAGAACGCCCATGTACCTCTCGAAAGGAAACATGTTGTGTAGGTACATAGGCCCGAGAATACGGATCTCTTTCACAAGGTGACAAAGCAGATGCGTCATTATATTGAAAAATGAAGGTGGAAATATCAACTCAAAACTAACGAGACATTGCACCACTTCATTCTGAAGGGCTTCTAATCTATCCGGATCGATGACCTTCTGCGAAATTGCGTTCATGAATGCACATAGCTTTGTTATTGTTGCCCGGACATTGTCTGGAAGGATACCCCTTATTACAACTGGTAGCAGTTGTGTCATCAACACGTGACAGTCATGAGACTTTAGGTTTGTGAACTTCTTCTCCTTTGTGCTTATTATTCGCTTGATATTCGTGGAGTATCCAGACGGTACCTTTATGCTCTCCAAGCATTCAAACATACTTTCCTTCTCTGCCTTGCTAAGAGTGTAGCTGGCTGGACTCAAGTAATAGCTTCCTTTCTCCTTTGGTTCCGGGTGAAGGTTGCCGCGTTGTTCCATATGCTTCAGATCATTACGTGCTTCCAGTGTATCTTTCGACTTTCCGTATACACCTAGGAAGCCAAGAAGGTTTACGCAAAGGTTCTTAGTGAGGTGCATCACGTCGATTGCGTGGCGTACGTCCAAGAATTCCCAATATGGTAACTCCCAAAATATAGAGTTCTTTTTCCACATCGCCGCGTGACCATCTTCGCTCTCTATATGCTGGCTTCCAGGCCCCTTTCCGAACACTACTTTAAGATCTTTAACCATAGCAAACACTGTTTTCCCGCTGCGATGTTTAGGCTTCGTACGGTGGTCGGCCTTATGTTCGAAGTGCTTGCCTTTCTTCCGTACCGGGTGGTTTGCTGCAAGGAATCGACGATGACCCATGTATACAACCTTCCTACAGTGCTTAAGATACGTACTTTCTGTTTCATCCATACAGTGAGTGCAAGCCTTGTACCCCTTGTTGGACTGTCCGGATAGGTTGCTAAGTGCAGGCCAATCGTTGATGGTTACGAACAGCAGCGCTCGTAGGTTAAACTCCTCCTGTTGGTCCTCGTCCCACACGGGGACACCTTCCTTCTTCCACAACTGTTTAAGATCTTCGACCAGTGGTCTTAGGTACACGTCAATGTCGTTACCAGGTTGCTTGGGGCCTTGAATAATAATCGGCATCATTATGTACTTCCTCTTCATGCATAGCCAGGGGGGAGGTTGTAGATACACATCGTAACGGGCCAAGTGCTATGGCCGCTGCTCATCTCTCCAAAAGGATTCATGCCATCCGTACTCAAACCAAACCGTATGTTTCGTGCGTCCTTTCCAAATTCTTTAAATTTTCTGTCGATGTTTCGCCACTGCGAACCATCGGCGGGGTGTCTCAGCATCCCGTCCTGTTGATGCTCTTCAGCGTGCCATCGCAACATTCTAGCATTCCCCTTGTTCCTGAACAAACGCCTTAGCCGTGGTATTATAGGGAAATACCATATCACCTTAGCAGGAATTCTCTTCTTTGTTAGCTGCCCGTCAACTTCTCCTGGATCGTCCCGTCTAATCTTGTATCGTAGTGCTTTGCAAACAGGGCATGCTTCTAGGTTCTCATACTCCTCACCGCGATATAGGATACAATCGTTCGGACATGCGTGAATCTTATGAACTTCCAGTCCTAACGGGCAGACTATCTTCTTAGCCTCGTACGTTGTCTCGGGCAATTTGTTTCCCCCCGGAAGAATGTTCTTGACGAGTTTCAATAAATCGCCAAATGCCTTGTCACTAACCCTATTTTTTGCCTTCCATTGCAACAACTCCAGAGTGGTATCCAACTTTTTATGCCCCTGCTCGCAACCTGGGTACAACGAAGTTCTGTGGTCCTCCAACATCTTGTCCAATTTATGGACCTCCTTTTCACTTTCGCAGTCCTCCCTGGCGTCCTGCAACATCTGACCAAGATCATCCGCAACGTCGTTACCATCAGCAGCTATTTCCTCCTCGCCCGTTTGATTTCCTTCAAATCCAACATACTGAGCAAAGTCCGGAATATTGTCGTCTTCCACTTCATCTTCTTCCATTTCAACACCTTGCTCTCTGTGGGATGTCCAACAATTATAGCTTGGCATGAACCCCGACTCAAACAAGTGGAAATGAATAGTCCTGGATGCAGAATACTCCTTCTGATTCTTACACTTATTGCATGGACAACAAATAAAACCCCTTTGCCTGTTAGCTTCGGCCACTCTCAAAAAATAGTGCACGCCGTCAATAAACTCTTTGGACCGCCGGTCAGCGTACATCCATTGCCGATCCATCTACATGAGTCAAAAAAACCGTACACAAATAATTATTCTTACAATAATGACAGTCATACAATAATTATAAGATATCTTTATTCATACAAAAATCATAAAATATTACACCAAATAATTCTTAAAAACTATTTGTAAAGTTTTAAACTAATTTTAATGTGTTTTACTTCTTTTAATTTTCATTTTAGTTTGTTTTCTATTATTTAAGATTAACTTTCACTAGAGTTTTCCTTCTCAACTATTTTATAAAACCTTGTTTAGCAAATGAACTAAATTTCTATATATTCTTTCTTCCCCACACACATTTTCTCTCTCATCAACTTACAACTAAATTTTGGAGACAAAAAAAGTGTGCAAAACATAGGTGCAAATGTAGTATGACAAAAAAAACATTGGAGGATGAAGTTGCAAACCTTTTAGGCACCTCCGATTTGTATGTAATCACCAAAATAAATTCAATAGAAATTTTGGCATGACCTCCCCTCTTTTTTGAAAAAATTTTGAAGCTTGCTCGGGCAGCTGGAGGAGGAAAAAGACATATATATATAGGGGTGGGACTTTAGTCCCGGTTGGTAGCACCAACCGGGACTAAAGATCCCGGGGGGGCCTGACAGGCCCTGACAGCATTCGAACCGGGACTAAAGATGATCTTTAGTCCCGGTTGGTAACACAAACCGGGACTAAAGATCATCTTTAGCCCCGGTTTTTATTGCATCCGGGACTATTGTGGAAATCGGCCGACCGACGAAAGATGGTTTCTCCACCAGTGTTAGCTATCGATGTCTATTTCGGGGCTGGTTTTATAACAGATGTTGCTCACTTGCTTGTATGAAGCATCTGGTACTGTTGACATGTTTCTTGGATTGAGGCTATTAGTTACATGGTGTACGAATCCATGCACCTCCTGAATCCCAGCATGTTCTTGTTTTTGTCTCTTTTTTGTGTTTGCTCGGTCGAATTCATGAGCTAATCTATACACAATTTATCGAAACTTGGCAATATACCGAGTGAAAGGGTAACCAGTACACATTAGTGGTCGTTCTTGCATTCATACAAGCTGAAGGTTTTCACGATCCATTTTACATTCAGAAAGCTGAAGTGAAAGCAATGCTTTCTCTGAATCTTTCAGAGAGGCACTTTGTTTAGTTGGGCCCGAACTTGAATGCACAGTACTTGATGAATCCCATATGTAGCTCGGATGCAATAATGCATTATATTGCCATCTCAATGTTTATTTAGTATTTTTATAAAGTAGGTATATAACATCGTAAAATACTAAGATAATTAATTAATGGTAGTATGTATAGAACCCGATAATTTTTAATTCGGACCCTCCACAGTACTGTACATGTAGACATGTGAGCCTGAAGGTATGTGGGCCCATATACAGTAATGTAGAGGACCTCACTCGATAATTTTTGTTCGGGTTCGTGTGGATGCCGCGGCATCTATCCCCGTGGGAACCGGTAGAGGCGGTACAACCGTAGGTCGTCGTCGGGGCGAGTGGTCGCCGTCGTGCCGCCGGCGATGCGGAGCTCCTCCATAGCCCAGCCTTCGACGTCGCACCCGACGGACCAATCGTTGACGAAGGCCCATCTCCTACTCCGGCCGATCTTGGCGCCGTCCGCCGTGGCGATGATCGATTCCGGTTGATTGATCATCACTTTCCAGTAGCCTCCGGTGATGTTTCTCGGCCGTGGGATCTTGCGTCCCGGGCTGAACACGTACACGCTGCCGTCTTCCGCCGCATTGCTCTTCAAATTATCTAAAGAAAAAAAATCATACAAGCGATTCATCAGAGATCGATCGATCATGGATGCGTACGTCGTCGTCAGTGAAGAAGAAGAAGAGTTGGGGTTTCAAAAAAAAAAGAAGAAGAAGAAGAAGAAGAAGAGTTAGAATTAGAATGAATTAAGGTGCATGAGTGAGAGTATACAGTAGAGGTGGGAGGGGTGGTCGCCGGCGGTGAAGACGTTGGCGTCGTGGATGGTGAACGGCAGCGGCGGCAGTGGCTGCCCCTGCCGCTTCTGGTCGAGGGCCGCCACGAGCAGCTGCCGTATCGCGGCGTAGGCCATGGATTTGGGATGATGATGATGATGATGATGCAGGCAGAGGCGGAGATGAATCTGGGTCGGGCGCCCGATCAGGAGGAGGCAAAATCGGACGCTGATGTCAGCATGACGTAAACGTTCGATTTACGTGCAAAATTACTTTAAACTGATTTATCTCTTAAATTACTTATCCAAATCATGATCCGATTGCACCATTAAATTCATTGCAATTAAATCTTCAAAACAAGACCACACATGGATATATTCCGATGAAATTTATTTTTTAGCTTATTATTGAATTATTTTTAAATGTTGCACGATGTTCCACCAGATATATCGGAATTGTTTCGCTAAGTAGATCGAAAATGTTTCACTCGTTTAAATCGGGTGTTGTTTCATCTTATATAAAAACAATGTTTCAGCAAATAGTGAATGAATGTTTCAGTTCAGTGCAATATTATATCTATACATAGTGAAACATTGTGAGTACATTAAGTGAAACATTTTTGGTGGAACAAAAAATAAACCAAATTCCCTTAATAGAGAGTTTCCCAAATATGTGGGTTTTTTTTTGCAAAAGAGTATTTTTAATTCACTGAGATCTATAAATAGTGAAACATTATAAATACATTAGATGAAACATCTTTTGTGAAAAAAAGGGAGGAAGAAATAGGTGGGTCCAAATAGACACGTGGGGGGAGAGGGCGCGGGGGGAGCGCCCGATCTGCCTCCCCCCGCGCCGGGCGACCAGCCAACAGCATTATCGGGCAGAGGCAGACAGATTAATCGCCGATATATTGGTTCTTTGATTTTTGGTACGAGTGTTTGTAATATAATCATGTTTGAGATCGTGTTCTTGTACGCGTTCGTGCCGGTTCACTCTTGTACGTGTTCGTGTCAGAGTGAACCGAGAATTCTGTTCGGTTAAACTATCAGCGTCTCGGTTTTGGATCGGCACCCAAAATCAGCCTTATACACTTCGTTGCCAAAATCAACCTTATTAAATTATACCAAAATTTGACATGTTTTGATGTTTTCGAATTTTAGTGGTTTTGGTTACATTTGGTTTAAAGCCTTATCAATTTAGTTGAGTTTTTATGGGAGGAAATTTCCGAAATTACCAATCTTTAGTAGTCTAGTAACGGTAGGATTATGCTCAATTTGTTACCCTAACCAAATTTACTAATTCCAGATACTTGATAATAAGGTTGAAAGTGAGAAATAAAGTGGTCATGTCCTAGGGATTGTGAAGTTTCGTCCGAAAGAGCATGCATAGCCCATATTATTTGTCCTGGAACGGGAATATGGCATCCATGATGCCCATACAAGTTGGGCTGGAACTCCCGTGGGCTGTCTAAGTGACACGCGGGGAGCCACTGGCTGTACTTTTGACTTGTGCCACCTGCAACAACTCGGATGATTCCCTTGGTCGTTCTGAGATCCATCCATCTGTAATAGTATGTGATATATGCGGAAGAAAGAAGAGTGCAGCGCACACCTTGCTGTTACGTTCATCCATATCAACGTAAGTAATATCACAAATATTACTTTACTCGCTAATACAAATATTTGACAAGTGAAATGACATCAATAGATTTGTGTGAAAAATATTTTGATGTAGTTATACTTTCTACTTGTTTTTTATGAATACTTGATAGAAAATGAATGATAAAATATGCAGGACAGCAGATTGTGTCAATGACTCTAAATGGCAACTAAACAGAATGGTTGCATTTTTTTTCCAAAATGTTTTTCTCGAGAGCAGAAGTGCAAATTGAAAGGGGATTTTAGCTACACTGGTCACAAATAGAACTTATCAGAGCTAAATGAAATATCTCTGGTATTGTGAAACCTGAAAAATTGAGTGGGAGAAACTTTTGACTTTTGAAACATCACACGTTTACTAATACACGGACAATATGCATGATGAAATGGCACAACAACCTAAACGAATTCGATTCACTGACATTGTACTACAACAAAGGGAAAGGACATAATTAACATTAGCTAACTTTGCACCGGCATATTCAGACACTTACACACTTGTGCAATTAAACAATAGTGGAGCTACAACTAAAGTTGCTATTCGGTGGCCGGTGGGACAACTATATCACCTTGTGGAGCCGATGGAGCTACATGCTGGTCTTGTTTCTCCTTGCGAGACTCTGCCCCTTGGGAGGTGTCAGTTGGAGCAACACCATGTCCTCCTTCCTCCTTGAGATTGTGAGGATTTTTCGAGCCTTGCGAATCGGATGGACCGATGACACCATCTTCCCTTTCATCCTCAGGTTCCTCTGTTGGCAAGTGAAACAGTTGCCTCCTCTGGAGCATCTCTGGGAACGTCTCCATGCCGGCATGTGCCAGCAGGAGCCACACATGGGAGAGGTACTCAACACCTGATCCAAGGCTCTTGGCATGCAAGTATCCTCGGCATCTACCAGCGGAGAAGCATAGCATCTCTACCCACACATCTATTATGACATCCCACATCTTCTTGTAACCCCGAGCCAATAACAAATCTCGGGCAAGCCGGAAAGCATCATGAATGAAACAATTCCTTTTATGCTCCACCTTCTCAATTACTTTTAGCGTAAGTTTTTCTTCATCATCCACAGGTAGATTTTTCTCCTTGTGTAGAATGGAGTCAAGTTCGCGGTACGCAGTTGTGAAGAGATTACTTCTGCTGCCAGCCATCAGCATCTCAGGATTAGCGAACAACAGATGCATTATGTAGTTGGAGATTGCTCTTGACATCACTCTGAAAGAAGGGCCATTGGGTGGACCAAAAGATTCATGATACTTGTGAAAGCAGAAGTCCGTAGCCACATGCCATATAAGGACAATCTCATCGAATGGTTTCTCTAAGCTCCAGCCTAGAAGCCAGGTGCATTTTGCTCACTCAAGTGCCCACTGTCCCATGTTGTCATTGAAACTCCTGTAGCTCTCGGCGTTTCTATGTATTTTGTCCATCCATCTTTCACATAATTGTGAACCAAATTTGTAATATCGGTGGACATATCGCATAGATTCATGCACCAGTATTGGTCTAGCAAACCCTTGCATTGTAAGCATCCTGCGATGCTTATCAACCATGCGTGCCTTTTGTTTCGGGTGAAGAATCCTACGAGGCTTTGTTGTGCCATAGTGTTAGGCAAGACATCGAGATATTTCCATACTACAGCCATGGAAATGATCTCTAGTAAAAGGGTGCCATACGCCATTAGAAATGTCACAATGACATCATTATGGCTATAGGCTTGTTTATGGCTGCTGTGGAGGAGACCAACGGCTGGGATCACCAGTAGTATAGCTAGCATCCATGTTGATAACCAACAATAGCGGTTTGCGTCAGGTTGTTCGCTATCAATCTTATTTCTGGTGTATAGAATATCAAAGATGCTGGAGAGCCCACTATTTATTGTTTTACAAACTTGTGTGAGATCAAGGGTAAAGAAGTATTTTAGGTTATCAAGGCGATCGGAATATGGGTAGGCAAAATCCACAAACAACATGGTGGGCACATCGAACTCTGGGGATGAAATTTCTTCTCTAGTACCTTGCTGTGATGCTGGAGGAGAATGATCGCTGCGCTGAAGTAAAGCCTTTGCTTCATTGACGAAAGATTCCAGCATTTCTTCTCTGTTAACGACTATATCCAATTCAGCATCATAATTAGAGCTGACTAATTCATTAAAGCTTGCGGCCTTGAGAGACATGGGCTTCTCAAAGCATTTGACAATACCAACGATGAAAAGCAAAATTGCAGCTGCCAATAGCCTTCTGTCAGCCGACGACGACCACGACTGGCAAAAGACGTAGATGGCTACTGTGACCTGATCACGAATTCACGATTATGTGAAATTAACGAATAAATAGATGTCAAAAATATAAATATATAATTCGAAATTCCGAAATATGTCAAAAATTTCCCTTGTAATTTTGAAATCACATTTTATAATTACAGTCTGGCCTGATATTGAAATTTAATATTCAAAATTTAGATGCTCCTGCGCTTTATTATACATAATTCGAATTTCAACAGTAAACGTAAGGAAGCATAATTCTATTCCCAACTTGAACACAACAAATTGACATATAAAGAATTTCAGAATAAACATATCTGACAACTTAGGGTTTGCTCGCTTAATCTCTATGAAGAAAGGACTGTAGGGGATTGAAAGGGATTATTTCCACACCTCAATATATATGTGTAAAATTATTCCCCTTCAATTCCTCTCGATCTTTTTGTTGGTGGGATTAACCGAGAACAATCAATATTAACCCTTAGTCCTTGTTCAGTCCACAATAATTTGGCGAAACTTAAAATACAAATACAATTAATATATCCGAGCAAGAATTGCACGTTCTAGCTACTCCTTCCATGCTAAAATATAAGTAATTTTTAGCATATATAGTAACAAATCAAACATTTTTAACTTTGACTATTAATAACAAAATAGTAAAAAAAATCAATCATGTAAAACTGATGTTACTAAATTTATCATTAAACAAACTATCATAATATACAACTCTTTTTACTTAAAACATTTTTACTTTTATAGATATTATTGGTCAAAAAATAGTACCTCGTAGACCATGTCAGAGTCTAAAAATACTTATATGTTGGGACGGAGGAAAGTAGCTAGGGTTGAGCACCTGAGATAATGCGGTTAGGATGTGGCGCCTCCACAGCTCATTGTCTTCTATGTTGTAGGCGGTGATGAACATCTGGCCGCCGAGATGCATCAGCAGGATAGGAGCCCACACGACCTCTAGATCATGGCTACCATTGTTGTCGTGCTGCAGTTTCTTCTTGCGATTGAAGAGAGTGGCAAGTGCGTATACCGCCAACGCATCACTAGCAAGGTACGAGAGCCAGATGAAAAACCTGTACTAGGGTGGGAAACGGGGTGACTTGCGCCTGCCGCCAAAAATTGCAAGAAAGTACTGTACGCCGAGGCTGCCCAACACAAGCACGCGCAGCTGCCACTCCTCCCACCATTGCACGGCGCTTGACAAACCCATCTACTACCTGTTGAATCGATCGTGTGTTAGCTTT